CGAAACTTGGACACAGTTCTTGCATCGTGGACACCGGGCCTACTACAGCTTACTACAGCTATTGTAGATCGGGCATAAAGGTTATTCTACATAGAAGTCGTAGTCGTGAGTTGTAAGAAATTGACCAATCACAGATTGAATATTCTCCTCAACTTTGAATGTGATTGGTCAATTTCTTACAACTCACGACTATGACTTCTATGTAGAATAACCTATGTAAGGTGTCGACGTGTGACGTGTAGTTTACACCGACAGGCGGTGGAAAGAAATCTCGCCGAGAAAGAAATGGAGTATTTTAAAAGCAGCCTGAAATCCGTCTTAGGAACCGCTCCCGCCGGTACGCAGCCGACGGGTGCCGATACGGTGAGTGGGAACCGATGAATATTTCATGTTTTCACGCGCCGGAGGAAGGTTACTTTCCTATGTTTTGAACGAACCTCGTAAGCGCTTTCGCTGCTAATTATCCGATAAAGCTTCCTGGCTGACGGACTTAATTACAGGTAGCTCACGACGCCGTTTCTTTTACAATATTTCTGTAACACAGATGGAGAGACTAGTGGACAGACTGCAGTCTTCTATTCTGCTGTACGACGGAAGAGATGCCTGCCGTGCGCTCAAGGCGTTATCACGCACGTATCGCGTGGAGGTGGGTGCTTAGAAAATGGACGAGCTCAGGCAGGTGCTGGAGATTGACAGGACAGATTACGAGATAATCGGCCTGGCTTTAGATACTCTGTGCAATATAACGAATCCTGAAACATTCAACGAAGAAGGTATAACACTGCGTTATTTCTTTGGCATAATCAATTTTACGTCTGATCGCCTCGCGTTATTTCAGTCGATAAACACGGCTCCAAGAACCAAATAGGGGAACAGTTTACAGAAATATTCATTAAGCACTCGGACAGTGTTGGTTTGTGGCTGACATTTCTCAAGGAGTTTGACTTCCGTGTCAGGTGGCCAGCGCTGAAGCTACTGACGCATTTGCTGGCGAATAGATCTAAAGATATTCAGGAAATAATTCTGGTCAGCCCTATGTGTGTCTCTAAACTGATGACTGATGGATTTGCTGAGTGACAACAGAGAAGTTATACGCAATGATGTATGTTAAATTTATTATTTTTGAACAAACGCTTCTGGAATAGTAAGAGCTTTGCTTGTAACATGTTATTTATACTTGCTATATAGGTCTTGTTGCTGCTCATTCAATTGACAAAAGGCAATGCTGACATACAAAAGATAGTGGCGTTTGAAAGTGCGTTTGATCGCATATTTGATGTTATTGAGCAAGAGGGCCACGCAGATGGTGGTATTGTTGTGGAAGATTGCCTCCTGTGCTGATATTAAATTTTCTCAGGGGAAACGTCAGTGACCAAGACTTCTTTAAGAAAGGTAATATACTTGTCATTGGATTTCTCTACCAACTTGTATAATTTTCGTCGTTCTGTAATAATTTTTATATTCCAACGGTACAGGTAGCTATATTCAGAAATTGACGCCAATATTCCAAATTCTCAATGAAACGAAGGATAACAATCTTGGTGGATGGAGCCCACAGAAGGTGTCCAATGTTCACTGCATGGTGCGAGTTGTAGTACGAGCGCTAGTAGCAGCGAGTCCTCCTGCTCAGGTAGCTCAAAAATATTAGCGCTATATGGAATTTACATTATTTGTCTGTTGTTACCTTTAATTAATAACAATTGTTTTGTGTGAAGGCAGTCGCAGCTTGTCAACGAACTATAAGAGCGTGCGGATTATTGCAAGCACTGTACGATATATTGATGGCTAACGGAGTTATAAACTGCCAACTCCCGACTTCACCCCCTCCATGGCAAAAACATGAAGAATACTTGATCTATTTATATATGTCGTTGCTATTTCCGATATAATTTATAACGTTAGCTAAACTTATCACAAGATGTATTTAATGTCGTTAGTCGTCTTCTCATTATTACAGTCTTTGGTTTGTATCACGAATTTTGTGTCGTTCTCGTTGTCAGGCGCG